AAAAGAAGAAGTGCAAATGGTTATTGAATACTACAAAAGTGTTCAGCATCCTTTACTGTCCTGAAAATTAAGACTCTTGAGATTCCATTTCATTTCACAATAGCTTTCATCAAGAAATCAGAAGACGGGGCTGGAGAGAATGCTCCGAGGTTAGGAGCACTGACTACTCTTCCAGAGGTCCTGAGTTCAGTTTCTGACAACCACATGGTGGCTCACGACCATCTATAATGAGATCTGGCGCCCTCTTCTGGCCTGCAGGTATACATGCAGGCAGAACACTATATATAATGAATAAATCTTAAAAAATGAAATCAAAAGACAACAAATACTGATGAGGATGTGAGGAAAGGGACACTGTTATTAACTGCTGGTGAGAACATAAACTGGTGCAGCCACACAATGGGCTTTTATTCAGCCACAAAGAAAAGTGGAGTAATATTTGTAGGAAATGGATGGAACCAAAAATCATTAAGTAGAGCCAGGTGGTGGTGGCACATGCCTTTAATCCCAGCACTTAGAGGCAGAGCCAGGCAGATCTCTGTGAGTTTGAGGCCAGCCTGGTCTACAGAGCGAGATCCAGGACAGGCTCCAAAACTACACAGAGAAACCCTGTCTCAAAAAAAAAAAAAAAAAAAAAAAACTCAGGAGGCAGAGGCAGGCGGATATCTGTGAGTTTGAGGTCAGCCTGGGCTACAGAGTGAGTTCCAGGAAAGGTGCAAAGCTACACCGAGAAACCCTGTCTCGAAAAACAACAAAAAAAACAAAAACAAAAAAGCAAAAAACAAAACAATAACAACAAAAAACAAAAAAATCATTAAGTAAAATAAGCCAAATTTAAAAAGACAAATACCTGGGGCTGGAGATGTGGCTCAGTGGGTAGAGGGCTTGGCTAGCATACACAAATCCATGGGTTCAATTCCCAGCACCGCACAAAACCAGTGTGTTGTCTAAGGAGAAAACACAACTTTCACCTCAAAAGATGTACAAGATAGTTTATTTTGGATCCAAATATGAGTGACCATGGCCTGGGATCATGGATTTAGGTTACTCAAACTCCATAGTCCAATGCAGGAATTGTTTCATGAAACTTTTGTAGTAACAAAACAAAAACTCACAAATCAAGGCACTTTTAAAATTCATTGGTTGAAACATTAGGTGGGCAGGTTAAAGCAAAGCAGGTTAAGTCTCTGCTATAGAGTCCAAATGCTACTGCAGGATGCTCTCAGGCTTTTGCTTGGTGGAAGCTAGGGATGAAGGCAATAAATGGCAAGTAAGATGGCTAAAGACAAACCATGATAATTTGGCTCTGGACTTGGAACATTACAAACTCTCCACAATCACTGAAGTTCTACCCAGTTTCTCCGTGGTGCAGAAGGCTCAGCAGCAGGTGCAGCTTCTTTCCAAGAACTTTCACTTACAGATTTGTTATCTCAGCACTTTGGAGGTGAAGTCAGTGTAAGCAGACGTTTCCTTTCCTGACCACCTGGTCCCAAATAACTGACTCAGAGGCTGAATATTACTTATAAATGCTCAACTGATAGCTCAGGCTTGTTACTAGCTAATTCTTACACTTAAATTAACCTGTATTTCTATTTATGCTTTGCCATGTGGCTCATGGCTTGTTACCTCATTTTCTTTTTTTCTTCTTCAGAGCTGAGGACCGAACCCAGGGCCTTGTGCTTGCTAGGCAAGTGCTCTACCACTGAGCTAAATCCCCAACCCCTTGTTACCTCATTTTAACATGTCCTGCTTGCTCAGTGACTGGCTGGCATCTCTCCTGACTCCACCCTCCTTCTTCCCATCATCCTCAGTTTGGCTTTCCTGCTTAACTTCCTGCCAAGCTACTGGCCTGACAGCTTTTTATTAAGTAATGAGAGTAATACATATTCATAGTATAGAAAACTGTTGTTTCACAGCAGTTCAGGGTCATCTATGGCTACATACATATTGAGTTTGAGGCCAGTCTGGGCGACATGAGACCCTGTCTCAAACAAACAATAAAGAAAGACAGACTTCATCTTTTTTCTCATATTCAAAAATTAGATTTAAAATTGTGTGTGTGTGTGTGTGTGTGCGTGTGTGTGTGTGTGTGTGTGTGTGATGAAACTAGAAAAGGGGATCATGAGAAGGGTGAGAACATGGCATGTATGGTGAGAGGGTAATGAAATATATGTGATATGAAAGCTGCAAAGAGAACTATTTAGGGAGAGGGAACCAGCCAGAATGTGGGCAGAGGGCATGGGGGAGGGATACAAATTTAAAAAATGTGCATATTTTCATATGTATGAAAAAGATATAATGAAACCCATTCATTTAAATTTAATGGGCATATGTCTTAGTTAGGTTTTTATTGCTGTGAAGAGAAACCATGACCATGGCAATTTTTTTTAAGATTTATTTATTTATTATGTATATGGTGTTCTGTTTGCACACCAGAAGAGGGCACTAGTTCTCATTATAGGACCTCTGGAAGAGCAGCCAGTGCTCTTAACCTCTGAGCCATCTCTCCAGCCCTGACAATGGCAAATTTTATAAAGTAAACATTTAACTGGGGTGGCTTGCTTATAGTTTCACAGGTTCAGTCCATTATCATCATGATGGGGAGCATGGGTGTGCAGGCAGGTGTGGTGCTAGAGCTGAGAGTGCTATATCTTGCAGGCAACAGGAAGCTGATTGATAGTCACACTGAGGGGAGCTTGAGCAAAAGAGACCTCAAAGCCTGTCCCCACAGTGACATACTTTCTCCTACAAGGCCACATCTCCTAATAGTGCCACTCCCTTTGGGGGCCATTTTCTTTCAAACCAGCACATTCCACTCCCTGGCTCCCAAAGGCTTATAGCTATATCATATTGCAAAATACATTTAGTCCAAATTCAAAAGACCCCATAGTTGCCAGGCAATGGTGGTGCACGCCTTTAATCCCAGCACTCGGAGGCAGAGGCACATGGATCTCTGTGAGTTTGAGGCCAGCTTGATCTACAGATGGAGTTCTAGGACAGCCAGGGCTGTTACACAGAGAAACCCTCTATCGAGAAACAACAACAACAACAACAAAAGTCCCCATAGTCTATCACAGTCTCAATAATGTTTAAAAGTCCAAAGTTCAAAGTCTTTTCTTAAATTCATAAAATCTCTTAACTGTAATCCCCTATAAAATCAAAATCAAAAAAGCAGATCACATACTTCCAACATATAATGACACAGGATATACATTACCATTCCAGAATGTGGGGAAGGGAGCATATCGAGGAATTACTGGATGAAAGCAAGACGGAAAACCAGCTGGACAAATTCCAAACTCTAAATCTTCATGTCTGATGTCAAAACACTCTTCAGATCTCCAACTCCTTTCAGCTTTGTTGACTGCAACACACTTCTTTCTCTTGGGCTGGTTCCACTCCCTGTTAGCAGCTTTGCTTGGCAGGTATCCCAAGGCTCTGGCATCTCCAACATCTTGGGGTCTCCAAGGCAATTCAGGCTTCACCTTCACAGCTTCATGCAAAGGCCTCTCTACTAGGCCTCCATTCAGGGACACCCCCGACACATACCTGGCCTCAGTAGATTTATTACATAACTTCTTTCTTCTATCTTTAACTCTAAAGCCAGAACCTGTCACATGGATATTAGTGGTAACGTTGTGGTTGAAGCTGCCAAGTTCTGCTGCTTACTGGAGCTGGAACATGGCTCCCTTGTTCAATTACATCTTTGCCAGATTTCTGTCTTTCACTGCCTAAGCTTGGCTGTCCTGAAACGTGCTCTGTAGACCAGGCTGGCCTCAAACTCAGATATCCACCAGCCTCTGCCTTCCCAGTGCTGAGATTAAAGGCGTGCTCCACCACACCTGGCTCTAAGCTTTTCTTCAGTTCCTTTTCACAAATTGGAAAATTAGCCAGGTGGGATATTGCTCTGAGGTCATCGCTCCCTTTATTCCATTTCTTAATCCATTTATCTCCCTGAACATAAGACTTAGCTCCATTCCAATTTCTGGTGTGCCCTTTTTCTTCTCAAATATTTTTCCTTGCTCAGCTTGCTCCTTTTCATTATGTATCTTCATTAGAGTTACCACTAATATCCACATGACAAAGCCTATACTATGCTATTTTGAGATTTCTTTTGCCAATGGAATTAATCCAAAACTCTTCACTTTAACCTCAGGCAGACTCTTTGGACAAGGGCAAAAGGCAGCCACTTCCTTTCCCAAAATATCACAAGAATGAATTCTAGGCAACATACTGAAATTCTCCTCTGAAACCTCTTGATACAGCCCTGGACAGTTCATCAAATCACACTCAGCACCACTGTCTTCCATATTCCTGCTAGTATGGCCCATTAAGCAAGTGCTTAAAGCATCCCACTGCTTTCTTTCTTTTTTTTTTTTTTTAGATTTATTTATTTATTATGTATACAGTGTTCTGTCTGCACATATCCCTGCAGGCCAGAAGAGGGCACCAGATCTCATTACAGATGGTTGTGAGCCTCCATGTGGTTGCTGGGAATTGAACTCAGGACCTTTGGAAGAACAAGCAGTGTTCTTAACCTCTGAGCCATCTCTCCAGCCCCCCCCCCCAACTGCTTTCTTAACCCAAAGTATCAAAGTACATATTCCTCCAAACAATATCATGGTCAGGTCTATCACAGCAATACCCCAGTTCCTGGTACCAACTTCTGTCTTAGTTTGGGTTTTTATTGCTGTGAAGAGACACCATGACCACGCAACTTTTATAAAGAAAACATTTAATTGTGGTGGTTTGCTTACAGTTTCAGAAGTTCAGTACATCATCATCATGACAGGGTGCATGGTCGCATGCAGGCAGATGCAGTGCTGGAGCTGAGAGTGCTACATCTTGCAGGCAACAGGAAGTCAACCGTCTGTCACACTGAGGGAAGCTTGAGCAAAAGAGACCTCAAAGCCCATCCCCACAGTGACATACTTCCTCCAACAAGGCCACACCTCCTAATAGTGCCATTTGAGGACCATTTTCTTTCAAACCAGTACAGCATACTTACCTGGCAAGGGAAATACCATGATCAAGAAGGTGGTTTTCACAGGTTGAGGCTTATCCATTGCACTCTGGATGTGCTGACCTATGTGATTTCCACAAATTCAGGAAACTCAACTGCATAATTTGTGGTAGTGGGGGGCTGTGTTCTTGGTTTCTCCTATTTTAAAAGAAAAAAATCAATGGAAAAAGATGTACTCCCAGAACTTGAGAGGTGGAGGCAGGAGAATCAGGAGTTCCAGGTCATCTCCAATTACATAGCTGGTTGGAAGCTGTTGTTGGATCCTAATGTCTCCCTTGGGGGAGGGGGTGAGAAGGCATGCCGTCAACGGCACACACACCAGGAGTCAGTTGAAGGCAAATAATGAACTCATTTATTCAATAACAGGAAAGGCCTTATATACCCTCCTCCCAGTGCCCAGTCTGCATGGTCATCCCTCATTGGCTGGGAATGATCAGGAACTCTGACATTGAACAGGAACTCTGACAGCAACTAGGAACTGTGACAGCACCTGTTGCTAGGCCCTCAGGCAGACTCTAGGTTGGCTCATAAGGAAGTACATTATGTGCATTCCTTGGCAACTGGTCTGAGTCAATTTCCTTGACCCTATGTGCCTGTCCTACTACAGGAAGCCAGTCTGGGCTACAAGAGATCTTGTCTCAAACAACAACAAACAAAAGGAGGAATGGTCAGGTCTGTGAGAACTACGTCCTAGTAGTGGAAAAATGGGAAGGGAAGAAGATGAACTCTAACCTGGGGAAAAGAGAAAAGATCTTTCTGGAGCCCTAGAACTGGCCCAAGAAATTTGACACAATCCTACTTCTATGCAAATCATGTTATCTCTTCTTTCTCTTTCCCTAAGGTATTCCCTATCACAATTTCATCTAGACTCATAGATCTTTGGAATTCCATGGATATCCAAATTAATTCTAAAGGAAATGCCATGACAAATATAAAATGTTCTGAGTTACTTGGAACTTAGGAACTGATAAATTAGTTCTAAACTAATAAATCAGAACAAAACCAATATAGTTTTATATACAACTGCTAAAAAAACCCTGATAACTCGGGAAGTGATTAATAAAACAATATAACTTGTAGATGGGGGGATAGCTCAAGAGATAAGCCTGTATTTAGCATGTGTGACTTTGGGTTCAATCCCTAGCACCAACACAAACAAAAAAAATATATATTTTGGACAACTTTTCAAATAAGGAAAATAAGTGGTAATAGCATTTGTACTGGTTGTTTGTTTGTTTGGTTTTGGTTTTCCTTTATTTATTTTTGTCAACATAATACAAGCTAGAATCATCTATGGAGAGGAACCTTAATTGAGAAAGTGCTTCCATTGTGTTAGCTTGGAGGTGAGTCTGTGGGGCATTTTCTTTCTCTTTTTTTTCCCCTTTCTCCTTTGTCAAAAAGTAAACTTTACTGGGCTGGAGAGATGGCTTATCAGTTAAGAGCACTGGCTGCTCTTCCAGAGGACCTGGGTTCAGTTCCCAGCAACCACACGGCAGCTCACAATTGCCTATAACTCCAGTTTCAGGGGATTCAATACCTTCGCACAGACATACATGCACACAAAGACACAAATGCACATGAAATAAGAAATAGATAAATTAGAGCTGGGCAGTGGCGGCACACACCTTTAATCCCAGCACTCGGGAGGCAGAGCCAGGCAGATCTCTGTGAGTTCGAGGCCAGCCTGGTCTACAGAGCAAAATCCAGGACAGGCACCAAAACTACACAGAGAAACTCTGTCTCAAAAAAAAGTCCATTGAAGAACCAAAGCACCCCCATTTCAAGCAAGCCCCTCACCCCAGCTTGAAACAGGCCTGAGTTTCAAAATTCTCAGAGCTGCTGACATAGGTCCCAGGACAAAGTGAGGATGTTTAAAGAGCCATCTGGTAACAACTGATTAACCATAGAATGCCTCAATGCCGGAGATAGTCAAAAGTACAACGTCAGGATGTTTGAAGGACTATCTGGTAGCAATTGATTAACTACAGAATGCCCCAATGCTGGAGATAGTCTATAAAGTTTAACAAACAACTGGTTAAAACTACAAAGTAAGAACACAGAAATTCTGGAAAACCCCTGAAACTTGAGCCAATCAGAATTGTACCCGTACTGGCACCCCTAACTGATGTAGCCTTGTGGTTTTTGCCTTTAAACCTGAGCTTGCAGAGGGGTGGGCACCTCCTCTAACCTCTGCTGTGTCAGGGTGCTCGACCGAAGTCCCTGCCGTGCAGCTTGAACTGAAATAAACCTTGCTTTTGCATTTCGGTGAGTTTGTGTCTCTGGTGGTCTCTTCGGGGGACTCATGCCCAGGGCACAACATCCATAACAGAATTAGAACTAGAAAAACAACTTACATCCTCTTTCATAACTCGTGTCTGTTATCTATATTCAGTCCTTCCTCATCCTCTAATATTTAGCATTTCTTGTCCTCCTTTATAATCTGCCAGGGGCTGTGTCAGAGGAGCAGCAGGTAGCAGTGGAAGTGCAAGGTCTCAGCCCATCAGGAGGGGACTCTCTGATGGGTCAATCTTGGACAGGAAAGTCCCTGAAACCACAGACCCTGGAACGTCTTTTGCTTCTGCTGTGCATTTACATGTTTGCTGCTGCCATCTTTCTCTGGTATTTGGCATGGTGTGAATGGATGTATTTATTTCATGGAATCATCCCATTCTACTGGGCATTTTTTTTCTTTGAGACAGGGTTTCTCTGTGTAGTTTTGGTGGCTGTCCTGGATCTCACTCTGTAGACCAGCCTGGCCTTGAACTCACAGAGATCTGCCTGGCTCTGCCTCCCAAGTGCTGGGATTAAAGGCATGCACCATTGCTGCCTGGCCCTCTACTGGGCATTTTTTTCCTGTGTATTATTATGAAGATGATTTCTTCCTAAGCTCTACTGTCTAAATGATAATAATAATGTTAGTTTAAATAGAGTTTTGATTATTAAAAATATAAACAAGGAAGTGTCACACTGCTACAACACATGAGTTTCTATTGAGGAGCAATATAGACTGTGGCTTAGGTCAATAATTAAGAAAAACAATTGAGTTCTATCTGCTTTGGGGAAGATGTGTTTTGCTAGAAGGAGCCTAGAAGTCTGATCCATTTCAGGGGTCCTATATGTTCTCAACTGTTCAGTTTGTATCTGTCACTAATAGAGAAGTGTCATTCGCCTTGCCTAAGGATGAGTGAGGGGAATCAAAGATCCCTCCACCCCTTGATGATGTCCCTTCCACATCTAGCAATCTTTCTTCAGTCAGAGATTGGACATACCCTCAGTCCCTTGCCTCCCCATGTGATAATGGGGTCATGGTGTACATGAGTTATTTAGAAAATAAGGAGCTACAAGTCTTCAAGAAGATGTTGATTGCTGTGGGATGTTCTGTATGGCAAATGTGTTGCTGATTAGTCAATAAGTAAAACACTGATTGGCCATTGGCTAGGCAGGAAGTGTAGGCAGGACAAGGAGGAGAATAAAGCTGGGAAGTGGAAGGCTGAGTCAGAGAGACACTGCCAGCCGCCACGATGAGAAAACAGCATGTGAAGATGCCGGTAAGCCACGAGCCATGTGGCAAGGTATAGATTAATGGAGATGGATTAATTTGAGCTGTAGGAATAGTTAGCAAGAAGCCTGCCACGGCCATACAGTTTGTAACCAATATAAGTCTCTGTGTTTACTTGATCGGGTCTGAGGGGCTGTGGGACTGGCAGGTGAGAGAGTTTGTCCTGACTGTGGGCCAGGCAGGAAAACTCTAGCTACAGTTGATGGATAAGCAGTTCCTGCTGGACACTCTTGGCATCACCTGGGAGCAGCTGGACAGAACCAGATGGGCAGAGATGGTTCATCTCGTAATAGAAATTTTTCCTGGACTACTAGCTTGGCGTGTGGTTATTGAAATCCTGAACACAATGAACAAGAGAAGAATTTGTTCCCTGGTCGAGAAGGAGCTAAAGGACATTCTTCCTACCTTGGAACCGACATGCTTCCATCTAAGAAAAACACCACTGAGTCTGACGAGAGAAGACTGTGATCAAATACAGGCATACAGACAACATGTGGTGAAAGATAATTTCCCTGAATGGGACAAAACCATCTGGCCTGGAAACCAAGAAGATTTCTTGTACAAGGAGGTGGAAAAACACAACACTATCTTGCTATGCCTCTTTCTACCCAGGAGTCCCCAGGGGAGACAGCCTAATACTGTGGTCATCCATGGCATTCCTGGTATTGGAAAAACAACCCTGGCCAGAAAGATCATGGGGATGTGGGCACATGATGAGTTCTAAGCACACAAATTCAAGTATGCTTTCTATTGTCACAGCCGAAAACTAAGCTGGGTGGGAGAGCGCAGTTTCTCTGAGTGGATCGAGGGCCAAGGGCTTAGGTCTCAGGCTCTCGTGTCTAAGATTTTATCCAGACCAGATCAACTTCTGCTCCTATTTGATGGCTTTGAGGAACTCACATCTTCCCTCATCACAGGGCCAATTGGTCTGATAGAAGACTGGAACCAGAAGCTGCCTGGGTCTCTTCTCCTGAGCAGTTTACTAAGCTAAAGGATGCTTCCAGAAGCCACACTCCTGATCATGTTGAGACCGACCTCCTGGAAAGGAGTTGAACTCTTAGTCAAAGATCCCTCCCATGTCACCCTGACAGGATTTAATAGGATTGAAACACTCAACTATTTCAGGTTGTACTTCAAAGGGAAAACGATGGGCGACAAAGCTGTGGATTTTGCCATGAAAAACGCCATCCTCTTGTCCATGTGTCAGGTCCCTGTGATATGCTGGGTGGTATGTTATTGTCTAAGGACACAAATGGAAGGGACAGTAGATCTCACAAAGGCTTGCCCAAATGCGACATCTGTGTTTGTCTTGTTTCTGGCAACCCTGTTCAGTACAATATTTAAGAAACTTTCCAGTAGGGATTACCAAAAGCAAATGGAAAGTGTGTGCCATCTGGCTTCCCATGGTATATGGTACCTGAAGAGTGTGTTTGATAAGACAGAATTTCAGTATGTCATGGTAAAGGAGACCACCACAGACGCTTTTCTTCAAGTGAACATTCTTCGAAAGCTAGAAGGCCAAGGGGACCATTACATGTTTGCCCTGTTTATCTTCCAGGAATTTTTTGGTGCCTTGTTTCAC